TTTTTTTTAATATACACTATTTTATTGATTTGTTTGTTTTATAAGTTATTACAGATTGATTAATTGTTTCGTACCACTGAAATGAAGTCTATCGGCCATTTGGATAAATAGTGCATTTGACCGGTAGTTAATTTGGAACAACACCTGAATTTCATTAGTGAAGGTACTATACCTGAATTTCATTAGTAAAGGATTTTGAGAGGTTATTATCTAAGTTCAGTATGTATCTAGTTAGGACGAATTGTTGATCAATTTCTGCTTTTGTTTATTTGCTTTTGTAGATGGAAAATCACAGCTTGTTTTTTTTTTCAAATCTTTTTGTAGATGGAATTGATTGCAAACATGTCATTATGTTTCTTTTTTCTTGCTATCACAAATTCGCATGATCATTTTTTGATCAATTTTTGTTTGTTTTTGTTTGTTTTGTAGATGAATTCTATTATAGATATGATTGACAGGGAGAATTTTTCTATAATCTCTCAAGCTGCTGTTGTGACTAATGTGATGAATATAGATAATGAAGTTGAGTTAAATGAAATATTGGAAGATGGAATTGGAGATGAAGATGACGAGGAAGCATCTTTTGACAATAATGTTGAAGTACCTTCGACTTTTACTAATATAGAAGGAACAAATTTGACTATTGATGGCAATTGGATTATGACACAATCAACGAGTAAGAATGATTTTACGCGAGAATTGGGAAAAGATTCTTTCAAGGATAAAGAGGAACTTGTTAGAGCAATCAAGATCCATAGCATTAGGACACATAGACAATTTGAGGTCATTGAGTCACGCCCAACTATTGGACTCTAAGATGCAAGTTGTACTTACAATCTGGTTGCAAATGGAAACTTCATGCAAGTAAACGTAAACGTAGTGGTTATTTTGAAATCACATCGTATACAGGTCCGCATACTTGTTTACACTATAAGCTTTCTCTAGACCATCCGAACCTAGATGCAAGCTTGATTGCTATGGAAACTAGACACCTTATAAAAGAGCAACCTTCTATCAGTATTCCGGCTTTGAGAGCTGAAATAGTTGAAAAATTGGGCTATACTCCTTCATATAAGAAGGTTTGGGTTGGAAAGCAAAAAGCAATTGAACATGTGTTTGGAAACTGGGAAGAGTCTTATGTTGCTTTACCAAAATATCTAGGCGCAATTCAAAAGTTCAATCCAGGAACTATAGTTGAATGGTGTGTTTCAAGATCGAATGATGTGGATGAAGTTGAATTTAGGCGTGTTTTTTGGGCTTTTGCTCCCTCTATCAAAGGGTTTCACTATTGTCGACCGGTGCTTAGCATTGATGGCACACATTTGTATGGTAAATACAAGGGTAAGATGCTAATTGCAATAGGAGTTGATGGTAATAATCAAATTTTGCCACTTGCATTTGCTATTGTAGAAAATGAATCTTATGATACTTGGGATTGGTTCCTTTCTCATGTCAAGAATCATGTGGTGAAAGAACGTGAAGGCATATGTCTAATATCTGATCGTCATGGTGGAATTCTTAAGGCTGTCAATGAGCATGGATCTCCATGGTTAGAGCCACGTGGTTTTCATAGGTATTGTTATATCTTAAGTATTCTTTTAGGACATTTCAATAACTTGTTTCATTAACTTACATTATTTTTTTTTAATTTTAAAGGTATTGTTTACGACATTTCATCAGCAACTTTTATGACAAGTTTCGTAATTCAGAATTGAAAGCTTTAGCTTATCGTGCCGGGAGTCAGAATCAAATTCGAAAGGTCAACTCCATCATGGAAGAAATTGGGAAGTTAAATCCTCGTGCTCGAGAATGGTTGGAGAGTCATCCACTTAATAGATGGACACTTGCACATGATGGTGGAAGGAGGTATGGGTTGCTCACAACAAATTTGTCAGAGATTTTCAACAGTGTACTTAAAGGTGCTCGTTTTTTACCAATCACAGCTTGTGTGCAACTTACATTCTATAGAATGGTGCATTATTTTGAGGTTAGACGTCCTTTAGGATCTAGTTCTCAAGCCCATGGAGATGCACATACTCCAAATGTTGTGGTAAAACAAGTAGCTTTGATGGCAAAAGCAAGTGCACATTCCTTAAGATCTTTTAACCGAGAAAAAGGTATATTTGAGTTGATAACTCAAAGAGGTCGAAATATGCAAATAGTTAATTTGGAACAAAAAACTTGCACATGTGGTAAATGGGAGGCATTTAAATATCCTTGTTCTCATGTCTTGAGTGCATGTGCCAAACTCTCTTTGAATAGTTGGCAATATGTTGATAGATGTTACTCGATTGAATATTATTGTGCTACTTGGGCATCTGAGTTCTCTCCGCTTCCTCACGAAGCGTATTGGCCACAATCACCATTTAACAAATTACTTCCAAATTTAGAACTATTACGAAATAAAAAAGGTCGCCCTCGTTCAACAAGACTAAAAAATGGTATGGATATTAAAGAAGGAAGAAATGCCAATCTTTGTGGAATTTGTAGGCAACCAGGGCATAATCGAAAACGATGTCCGTCTATGCCAAGGTAGTTTAAAAAAATATTTTTATGGTATTTGTTGTGGTTATTTCCTCTTATTGTTATTTTTTTTATTTTTTTTTACAGGTAAGGATTTGTTACCGGTTCAAGTTCAAGCTAATTGTGATGTTTTTTTTTCTTTTTGTAATAAACAATGTTGGAGTTTATTTTGTGATGTTTTTCTTGTAACAAACAATATTGAGGTTTTGATGTTTTTTTTTATATGTGAATGTTTGAGTTTTTGCACCTTAAAATATATTGTATTTTTAATTTTTGATGGCGAAAATTTGATGGTAAAAGGGTTGCATAAGAAAAAATGATATTTAAAAAAAAAATAGAAAAAAAAGATTAAAAAAACTGCTATTTAAAAAAGCTGTAAAAAAGGTAAAAATACTAAAATAATAGTTGTCATTTAAAAAAAAATATATAAAAACAATAAAAAGGTGGAATAAAAGAGAAAAAAAAAATAAGATATTTAAAAAAAAAAAAAAAACTAAAAAGAAAACTAAAAAGTAAAGAAAATGAAAAAAATACCATTTTGATAAATATTTATGAAAGGACACTAGAATGGTAAATATTTTTTTCAACTATCCCGTTATGGTCAAAAACTCATTGTTTAAGTTTCAAAGATTCAAAGTATACTTTTATTTAGGGGCGAAACCCCTAAAAAAAGGGGGTTCGGGGGCAGCGCCCCTGGCGGGGTCCAAGGGGCAGATCCCCTGGTTGGGGTCGAGTTGTCAGGTTAGCGCAATTTTTTTTATTTGGGTTATGTTGCTATATTAAATAAATGCATCAAAAATCTGATTTTTAGAAAAATAGACTCATTTTGACCCTTTTCCGTGAGATCTATATTATGACAGGTTTTGCAGTTTTTATAACTGTTTTGTAACTGTCTTGTGACAATTTTCAGACGGAAATCATATAGCCGTTTTTTGGTCATTTTTCTTGTACACTTCTTCAAGAACATTTCAAATACATTATCTGATTTCGTAATCTCTGACTTTCATCCAATTGAGTTTCATCTATACCATCGAAATACTTTAATTTGATAGTGAATCACGACTTTCAGAGAATCCAAACAATCTGTTTATCCCTTATTCCTAACACTGTTTTCCCCCTCCATTTTAGGCTGATGGATGTACACTTTCACCACCTTTCACTTTTTCTATGTCACTTCATCGTCACTGTCATTTTTCTTTTACTCTCCTCTCATCCTTTACTCATATGAAGTGGTTAACTTCTCGCTGCCTCACTTTTTATAATATATATATATATATATATATATATATATATATATATATATATATATATATAATCGAAAAACGTGATTTCAATATCATAATCAAAATAACATATAACCACAACAAATTATGAAGTGAATATAATTAGGGGTGTTCGTTTGGATTGATCGGTTTGATCCAATCCAATCAAGTGAATCCAAATTGATTTCGGTTTTCAAAATAAGGATCCGAATAGTCCAAACTAAATTCAAATTCGATCCGATCCGGTCCAATTACAAATTCAGTTGGATCGGTTTTTATAATTCGGTTTTTAAAAACTAAAATATTTTAAAATGACATAATTATAATATTACCGAATTTTACACAAGAAGCAAAAACAAATTATTTAGTTACGATTTGAAATTTATAAACAATTATTAAGAAGGTATATTATATTTTAATATTTTATAGATAAAAAACTTTTGGGAGAAAATGTATATTAATATTTTTTACTTGGTGAAACTTTTTGAACCTATTTCAAAAAATAAATTACAAATTTAATAAATAATTATAGATATCTATTATAAATAAATAAATAATAAATTGTTATTCGGTTTTTTTGGATTATTCGATTCTTATTTTATAAACCATAACCAATCTAAAATCCAAAATAATAATTCGGTTTTATCGAAAACCAATCCAAAAATCCGAACCAAATAGTCCAATCCAAATTGTCCAATTGGACAATTCGGTTTTATCCAAATACTGAACAGCCCTAACTATAATGAACAGCGAGATTTTTTTTAAAGAACACATGATAAATGATGAGTCTCAACCTAGATTTCTATAAACATCACATTTATCATCCAAATAACAACATAACCACAACAGGGTATGAACCGATTGAAATGAACATCCTAAAAAGAAACTAACCTGTGAAATACTTCTCCTACGTTTCCAATTTCATCAAACAAATTAACTGCCTAACTAACAACTCAACGTTTTTTCACTCAAAAGATACTAAACTTCCCATACTTCTTACTTCTACTATAAGTGTGAATAATTGCGGAACCTGTTATCAAAGCATGAATGTCAAATGTATTTTGTATACTCTATTTGTAACTGTGTTGCTATTTGAACTTATGTTACTTCAACCTATATATTTATATGTCAAGTTGATTCGTAGATATTAGTTTATAACCAAATTGAACATTAGTGCAATCTTTATTCTTAAAACAAACATAATGGTTAAATTAGATTACAAGGAAGCCATTTTTATTATCACATTAATGTAATCACAGCATACTTCCACTCACATCTTAAACTAATAAACAAAACAAAAAAGAAAAAAGACGACCAAGCATCAAACACCATTTTTAAAATCCTTAATCTAAACAAGGGGTAAAAAAGTAAATATCACCCAACCGATCATTACTCGGCGAATTCCCACCATACACCAACAACCCATCTTCACCACCAAACCGCCCACCGGAAAACGCACACCACCCTCGCGGGCCCGGGTGATCATCACCACCACCAAAACCATCCTCCACCCGCCGCCACGTCAGCGCATCCGTATCCAACGCATACACCTCATGGGTAAACCGACCCGCACCCATGTGACCCAAATCACTGGGGTCCACCTCACCACCACACACAAATATATACTTCCCAATCACAACACTCGAAAACACACTCCTTGGTGTCGGTTTTTGACCCGTGGTTTCAACCTCGATCCATTTTCCACTATCCGGGTCGAAAAAATGTACATCATCAACCTCCATACCCGCAAACCCATAAACCACCCAAATTTTCCCGCCAACCACCCCGACCCCGGGCCCACCTCGACCTTTCAGATTATCACCTGGTAAAGGAAACTCAACCCATTTTTTCTCAACAACATCATAAGCCCATAAGTCATTCAACCGACCCGCGACCCCACACCCACCGAAAACATACATGTGGCGGTCATCCGTAGCTACGGAGTGGTAGCTACGGTGAATGGGCCCATTGTCCCCGGTGGACAGTAGGGCCCACTCGTTCGTACAGGTGTCGAACGAGTAGAGCTCGTTGAGCTCTGCGTGGGTGGCGTCACGGCCGCCAAAGACGTAAATTGTGGTGCTGATGGCGGTCATTGTGACGCCGACACGTGGCGGTGGGATGTCGCCGGTGGTTTCGGCTATTGACCATGTTTGGGTGGTGAGGTTGAAGATGTAGAGGGAGTTGTTGATTGGGACACGTGGGGTGAATTCGCCACCAAAGGCGTAAGCTTTTTCTCCAACAATGGTGATTGCGTGTGAGCTTCGAGCTCCGGGTCCCGTTCCTTTTTGGTTCAACTGAAAATTATGAAAGATCTAAAGTTTATCAAATCATCCATGGATGATGAATGCTAATATGATCTTGTTTGTAAGTAGAGACTAGAGAGGAATCATTACGACAATTAGATAAGAAATCAACGGTGGATTTAGAAAGGGGGTTTGCTTTTAAGTGGGATTCCGAGTTGGAAATGGGATCCACGAGTCTCTCCATGAATCAAATCATATGAATTTGACCACTTTGAAAGTGATTTTACCTCGGATTTGAAAACATTAATTGACTGAATTTAAGTTTATCACTTACATCTTCTTCATGAACAAGCTGTAAATAAATCCTAATTTCGAAGACTATTGTTTCTAGGTTTTACATTTGTGCAAGATTTTGACATGGTTTTTGGTTAGAAACACGAATTTCGGAGACATGATTGACATGCATCACATATACAGATCATAATCGACTTCCATCTCTTCGTAAAACCCTATGTGTATATACCTCAAACCAGTAACAAAGAAATTAACAGGAAATTAGAACAAATCCTAGCCATAGCCTGATGAGTTAAGATCAATCTAAAAAACAATCGAAGCGAATCACTAAATCTAGTTGGTATATGGTTGAAACAAATAAGTGATGGAAATGAAGCAGAAAAGTGATGATGATGATGATATGCAAAAGTGATAAAGAGAAATGAAGGAGAAGTTGACCTTAATCCATTTGCCTTGTGTTATCGCCATTGTTGTTGATGAGCACAGAGGAGTTGGTGTTTGATTGATTCTCTGTTCCACCATAAAACACTTCGCTACTTATAAACTAATCAGTGCCTGTCAATTGTCACACACTTTTTTTGTTTGTTTTAAAGAGTTAATCTATTTGGTATATCAGTCAACTAGTCAATTACTATTCTGCCCTTATTTTGTGTGACAACAAAGGAACAATCTATTATTAGTTATTGGGATAATGACTTGAAAGGATAACGAACTTTTGACTTTGTTTATATTTAGTCTCTAAACTTTTTTTCGTTATCTATTTGTCATTAAACTATTGAAACTGTTCACATTTTACCCTTATGACCGGCTGTTACCGGTCATAAGGGTAAAATGTGAACAGTTTCAATAGTTTAGTGGCAAATAGATAACGAAAAAAAGTTTAGTGACTAAATGTGAACAAAATCGAAAATTCGTTTCCCTCTAAAAAGTTCAATGACTAAATGTGAACAAACTTCCTCTTGTATTATGTTTTAGCAAATTATTTATTTTTGTTAAATTGTAGCAACATTTGTTGACGAAGAAATCTATGAAATAAAAAAAAACAAAACCCTGAAAATATATTTAAAAAAAAACAAAAAACCGAAACCGAAATAAAAAATCAATGGTTTGACATTTTCCAAAATAAAAAATCAAAATTTCCAATCTGATTTTGGTTTTACAAAAAAATGAATCATTCTCACTGATGTGAATTATGACCATCGGTTTGGCATGCGGAATTAAAGAACACGGTGATTTGGGTGTTTAAGAGATGCATTCGATTATGAAAGGTGTTTACAAAAAAAGATCTAGATCTAAATCTACATAATTAACACACACTAACACTTTCAATGTTACATCTCTCAAGCACACCTCTACATGTGGTATGAACCCACCTTATATAGAGGTGTTTACATGTCTCTCTCTCTATCTCTCATGTCATAAAGGAGGAGTTTTGGATAGAAAATTCTGAATTGAGCGCTTTCCCATTCCCTTTTTGGTTTTATAATCATTTTTCGATTATAAAAGGGGAGGGATTTAGATATGGAAATCCGAAAGTTGAATTTTTGTAAAACCAAAATCAGATTGGAAAATTGTGATTTTTTATTTTGGAAAATACCAAACCATTGGTTTTTTATTTCGGTTTCGGTTTTTCGTTTTTTTAATATATTTTTCGGGGTTTTTTTTTTATTTTATAGATTTCTTCATCAACAAATGTTGTTACAATTTAACAAAAATAAATAATTTGCTAAAACATAATACAAGAGGAAGTTTGTTCACATTTAGTCATTGAACTTTTTAGAGGGAAACGAACTTTCGATTTTGTTCACATTTAGTCACTAAACTTTTTTTCGTTATCTATTTGCCACTAAACTATTGAAACTGTTCACATTTTACCCTTATGACCGGTAACAGCCGGTCATAAGGGTAAAATGTGAACAGTTTCAATAGTTCAATGGCAAATAGATAACGAAAAAAAGTTTAGTGACTAAATGTGAACAAAGTCGAAAGTTCGTTACCCTTTCAAGTCATTATCCCTTAGTTATTAGTCTATAAGTATATTAATAAAGGGATAAGACTTATCTCGGGTAAGGAACTTTTAATTTTAGGGATAATGACTTGATAGGGTAAGATACTTTTTGAAATGTACACATTTAGTCCTTATTCTTTTTTTTTTGTAAAATAAACCCTTATACTTTATTTTTTGTAACAATGCAATCCTTGTGACCGGCTATACCCGGTATACCGGTCATATACGAATTTTCTTTTAGGGAAAATGACTTGATAGGGTAAGATACTTTTTGAATTGTACACATTTAGTCCTTATTCTTTTTTTTGTAAAATAAACCCTTATACTTTATTAATATGTACACATTAGGTCCTTTTCACCGGATTCTACAGGTTTTGCTGATGTGGAAGCACAAGTGGCACTAAATAGCAATTAATTAGCTTAGTCACCGGAGGTGGGTGATCCTCCAGCAACAAGAAAAGGGCGGCGACCCTTCTCTTTCTCTTCTCTCTTCCTTCCGGTCGAACAGCAACAGCCAAACACCCTTTACCTGTTGTGTTTCTCCGATCTGTCTCTCTTTGCCTCCATCTTTGAGATATGTTGCCAGAAAAAGAAGAAAGAATCGACGAGGGGGCTACCAGAGCAGCTCCTCGCCGCCAACTACCGTCTCTACTTCCTCCTGCCTCCCCATTCGACCTTGTTGTTTTTGCCATCATTCCTCCTTGCTACCAGTGATGTGTAGGAACACACAAAGGAGTCGTCGGAGATCGGGGTTCTCCCTCTTTTTCATGATGAATAAAAGTTGGAAAAATCTCGTTGTGGATATGTGGATGCCACCTGGGTATTTCATTTCAACAAAATAAAAGAAAGGGAAAATGACTTGATAGGATAAGATACTTTTTGAAATGTACACATTTAGTCCTTATTCTTTTTTTTTTGTAAAATAAACCCCTCCACGTCAGCAAAACCTGTAGAATCCGGTGAAAAGGACCTAATGTGTACATATTAATAAAGTATAAGAGTTTATTTTACAAAAAAAAAAAAAGAATAAGGACTAAATGTGTACATTTCAAAAAGTATCTTACCCTATCAAGTCATTATCCCTTAATTTTATTCATATTTAGGAGGTGTTTGGAATAGCTTTTTAAACTAAAAAGTCCTTTTTAGAAAAGAACTTTTTGATTCATGTCTTTTTCCAAAAGATAAATTTTAAAATGTGTTTGTTAAAACTTTTGAGGGGGCAAAGGGAAAAAAGACAAAAGTTGCTAAAAGTCACAGATTCGTGACTTCTTAACCCCCTCATTTTTCTTCTTCTCAAAAAGATAATTTAAAAGATCTTTTCAAATTACCAAACAACTTTTTAAACTTTTGACTTTTTGGATAAGTCAAAAGTCTCAAAAGTCATTTAAAAAGGAAAGCCAAACACCCTCTTAGTTACTGAATTTTTTTTCGTACTTATTTACACATGAATTATTTGAATTTGTTCACATTTTACCCTTATGACCGGTTACAATCGGTCATAAGGATAAAGTGTGAACATTTCAAATAATTTATGGATAAATCAAGCACGAAAAAAAAATTCAGTGACTAAGTATTAACTAGTTAAAAATTTGTTACCCTTTCAAGTCATTATCCCTTATTGTAATCATCTCTTAGTTTATTTTGTTGTGTGTTGTGTCTGTAAGGAGTATTACAGAATAGAATGTGTATCACAAAAGCATGTTGTAGCTCATTGCTTTAATCGTAGTCAATGAGATAAACTTTTAACTGGAGTTATTTTACTCACGTATAAGTGAAACCCCAACCCACAAAGAAGAAATAATCAATAGAGTTTCACAAATACAAAAAGACACATATACAAGCAATAAAACGAAATATATATCGAAAATCAAAAGGAGCATGGTGAAAAGGTACATATAGAACCAACATACAAATAGAAAAGGTAGATACGAGTAATAACTACGAAGAAAAGTATCGACAAAACAAGTTGAAAGTAAAAACAGTGAAAATTAGGCAAATTGCACAAACAATGTAAAGACAACTAGCACTTAGACTACTCATGCACTACTTCACGACCTTGATCTTATGCATCCACACTCTCTAATCAAAGCTTGTATCCTTGTAAATAGAAAAACATCATTCAAATTTAACATTGTATTATATTCTGCTTCTTTATCATATGTTCTCTCTTCCTCGCACGATCTACAACGACCGTCCCCTCCCGGTGGAGTGAAAATCGTTGCCTATGTCCTAAGTACATGAATGAAACCACCACAATCTTTGTTTCTTCAATGTCTATGTGATTAAAGTCGTTTCTATGTATTTCAAAATGTTGTTTCTAGTACCTTACACAATAACATTTAGAATCATTTACAAGATAATGGATTTAAATGGTAACAAACTTTCAATTTTGTTCACATTTAGTCATTAAACTTTTTTCATGCTTAATTTATTCTTAATTATTTGAAATTGTTCACATTTATCCTTATGATCGGGTATATAGTCGGTCATAAGGGTAAATGTGAATAATTTCAAATAATTCAGAGGTAAATCAAGCACGAAAAAAATCTGATGAATAAATGTGAACAAAGTTGAAAGTTTGTTACCCTCTCAAGTCATTATCTCATTAATAAATAGATTCATTTATCAAAAATCAACCTAGATTAACAAGTTAGTAGGCGAATATCCCTATTTTGTGCAAATATAATTAAAATATTGTTATATGTTATTAATTTCTTTCTTTTAAAATTTCTTTTATTTATAAATTATAAATATTAGAAAAACAAATTAATTTATGAAAATATAAAAAAGTGTGAAAGATTATTGTTGAAAGCTATTATTTTTTCCTTTAGAATATATATATATATATATATATATATATATATATATATATATATATATATACTAGAGGGGTTTCCCGCGCGTTGCGCGGGGCGGAACGTGTCATTTTGTGAAACAAATAATGAAGTACATTGCATAAGTTGGTATCGACATTAAAGTATGTTGCTATTCTGTGTAATTTGCCAGAAAAACGCTATAAACATTGATCCAAAACGTAAGCTTTTGCTGGCGTTTAATTTTCAGAAGATCAACTCATGGACTCCTCCCGAAGAATTTCAACCAAAACCAACCTATATACACAATTCTGAAAATTCTTATTAAAGCCGGTGAGCAACAATACAAACTCGGGCAACAATTTCATGTCATGGGAAAAACATCATTAAGGGAAAAGTCGTCCAGATTTGATAATTTGCATACAATGAGATGTTATTTTTTATTTTATTACAAAACCTTTACTGGAAGCACGAATTCAAAAAAAAAATAGTTATAATTAAGAAAGCCTTACGAACGAAGTTAGACAGGGTCAGTTGGCTGAATTTGTAGCTACTGATTTCATAGATTACCCATCTGCAACCAATCAATTTCGCCGGAATCATCATACAAAAAAATTGGTAGTCAATTTTCAAAGAGTTTTAAACTGAAATAAAAAGTAACATCCATTTACCTGATTATGTTTTCTTGCTTCTTGATACCAATTAACTACACTGAAACTCAAAGAATCATAATTCAATTAACAGTTTCCTTTTAAAAAAACCACCAATAATAATAAATAATAAAAGAAAAGTTAATTATTAACATATAATGTGATGTAACCTGACAGGTAATATCAAACATGAACAACATAGTTAGAGCCTTTACAAGCGGCACGAATCGCCGCCATGGAACCACTGTTATCTGCAATCACAGCAACATATTTCAATTTCATAAATTCCTTTCCAATAATCGAAGAAATTGTTCAAAAACTTAATCGAAATTCATGTTTTTACCTGCAGAAAATGCATCCCTACCAACTACCCAGATAGGATTTTATCCATCTTAACTTCCGTTGCTGGAAAATCTTCTGGTTTTTTCTCTTTCCATACGTACTTTGCCTTCAAATTCGATTATTTAGTGAGGAATTAATAAAAATCAGCGAATGGGTATTGTTTAATTGACAGAAAAACGAAAAGGGTGTTCTATAAAATTGATTAAAAGTAACGAAGAGGCATGTTATGCAAATATGATCATCTCCCAACAGGCTAATCTCTCTAACGCCCAAGAACTTGTTATCGACACGCTCAGGTCCAATTTGGAAGTAAGTCAGCACTGTATCTACAAAAAGTTACAATCACCCACTTCTCTTCTTCCCAGTCCCGCTTATGCTTCTATAAAAGAAAAAAAAGTTTTTCAAAAAGTAAATTACTTCAAATGATGTCAACAAATAACTAAAATACATAGAAAGCATGAGTTGTTACCTACCTGTGCGAGTAATCAAATGAGCATGAATATTACATATTACATACCCAACATGGCATGCTTCATCCCTGGACATGAGGGAAAACATCTTGGTGATCAATAGGTTCATTTTCTACAACTTGTATTAAAATTGGTAAAGAATTCCAACAATTTTGAAGTTGAAAAGTGAAAATTAATACTTTCAGTCGTCGACCAAGCTCTGTAGCACCAATCAATTAGACTTGATTTTCTAATATGAAAACAGTAACTAATTATGATTCAAAATTCAAATTCTGGTCAAAGTAAATAAAACTACCTGTAAAAAGTAAAAACTATGTGTCTTAAGTCTTTAACTGTTTTAAGAACATGACGATAACTATTATATCATTTCAGGCACCCGCAATACTCAACATGTTGTTGATCTCTCCAATAATCTTTATAGGCCTTCCATCAAACATGGATGAAAGTGTAGTCTCACAAACCTTCTTCAACTCCCTAGTTTTTGCAACCGCTGCTTCCTACAGTTAAACATACACCATATTTTATCAAAACACATTTCATAATTCGTAATTCATAATAATATATAGAGTTAAACATTTTTCTTTAAACTCACTTGCTTAGGCCAAACTGAGGACAATGAATTTTGAAGTTCCATGTGTTTGATAGCTAAATCTTTTAACCCCTCTTTCAATTTCGCTTCATGATGTTTTTTTTCTTCAAGCGTACTAACAAATATTTCAACAAATCTGAAAATTGATCAATGGTCAAAACTCAAAACTATGTATACTTTTAAATAAAATTTATGTAAAGTACGAACCTTTTCGAGTTGAGAATCATAATGAGGTCCCTTGTTTTCTTATTTGTCAGCAAAGAAATGGCTGAAGAGACAGCTGATAACATTGATTGGATAGCATCAGAAGTGTATAACTGTAACTAAAATGCCAAAATACCCTTCAAGTAAAAATGGATTTCACCTCGTTGTTTCTTTTCTGATCTTGTTGTGGTAAATGACTCACTTCCTGGTTCAGAGAAAATTCAAAATTGTCAATTTTATGGATAAAGTTATTGTATTTAACAAAATGATGTGATTGTTATTTAATTATTTACCATCTGGCATTTTTGCCTCAATGTTCTGGAAGGACAGACACTAAGATTTAGTTCATACCAGAAAGCGCAAAAAATGTGTGTGTGTGTGTGTATTCCAACACATGGCATCCCCAACAAAGTCTACCTACCAACAAAAATGTAAAGAAGCTCAATAAGAATTTTAAAAGATATTTCATATACCACAGCAGCAGTTGCAACCTTTCCTTTGAAGAGCACTCCCACAGAGACTACAAAGGTTGGATACACATGAGCAAAATCTATTGTCGCGTCTATATAGTTGAAAGAAATGAGTATATATTTCAGGTGAATGTGATTTTGATATAACTAAAAAGATTTTTGAATCACATACCCAAAAGCCTGAACCGTTATTTCAACAAAAGAGAAGCCATTCATCAGATAAAAATGTCCAACAATCCAAAGACTGCAGCCATCGGTGGTCTCTGCTGTCAAATGAAAACGTGAAATAAAAAAAATCATTGAGAGTAAAGATCCTTTATAACTGGCATCCAAAACTATATAGATTCCTAGCTTAATCTTCCAATTCTGAAATTCAATTAATTTTTTTTCATTCAGACATTTTATCAAACACGTCATATGCATCTAAATTTACATTTTTCTTTTCAAAAAAAAGCAAACTTAAATATGGTGAAGTAAAGAAGGTTACTGACCAGCTGTAACAAATCGATGCTAACAACAAAAAAAAACCCAAATTAATCACAGTATACGAACCTCGATGTACACAAAGTTTTGAGCAGAACTTGTGAGGAACCTTAAAGAGAAGGTGGAAGCCCAAATCAAAAACGGAAAACCCCTTGGTCTATTCCTTTCAACATGGAACACGAAAAAGGAAGAAAGGAGAAGTAGAGAGACGCTTCATTGGCAGAGGGAGGTGCTGAACATGGCTTCCATGGATAATACGTGACCCGAAGCAAAACCGATTAGCAGAGACGCGACACGTATGTGTACATCACCGATCGACGTACGCCTCTAAGGATGGGTACTTTTGGTTTTGGTCGAAGAAACGTTGTGCGCTTCATCGGGTCTGTGATGGTACTATGGAGTCGAAGTCGGACGGTGGTGGTAGTATGGACTCGGGTCTGTTTCCCAGTGAACCGTAATCGCCGATGACGTTGAATTTTATGTCGTTCTGCTACTACCGTCGGTGGTGCGCTTCGCCGGCTTCACTTCCCCTTCATTCGCCTAGTTCGACCTCGAAATTGGAGACCATTTCGGCTTTGCAAATCGACCGAAGCGCCTTCACTTTTCCCTCTCTTTCGTTCGTCTGCTTGCAGGCATTCTTCCGACTAAACGTGAATTGTGGAGAGACAGACCCGATAATAAAAGGCGAGGGTAAACGTGAATTTAGAAGATATATAACCGAACCCGTGTTTTCTAATTTCTCCTAGGCAAAGAAAATTTTTACCTTTCGTCTATATTTGTTTTCTGATAAAGTTATAAATAAATATTAAATTTAGTTTATATGGTATACCGTTTTTTAAAGTCTGATTCTTAGAAAAACATCATCAAAAACTACCAACAACAAATAGCTATTTTAACCAAACATTTGTTATACACTATTTTTTATAAATTTTCTTTATCGAATTTAACGTCATAAATGTTTAATTGTAAAATACTTTTCATATTATCTTTAATCTAATTTTTGTATGGAACATAAAATACTATTTAAGAATATTATATTAATATACAAACTACAATATAATTGAGTGGGAAATAAACTTCCTTATCAATTAACCAAAATACAATAAAGTTGCATGGAATATGAAGAACGATAGTGTATTCTAGAATACACTCTCATTCTGTTGGAATACACTTTCATTCTTCTAGATATGAATTCATTCTGAAAGAATATTATTGTTGACATTAATGACGAATTTAATTAGTTTCCATAAAAATGAGTTATAAGTATGGATAGCATTTAATATACATATAATTAATACTAAATTTATATTGGTGCATTCTAGCACACAATAGATGTGAGAAACATTTGAATCTACCTCTATATATATATATATATATATATATATATATATATATATATATATATATATATATATATATATATATATAACAAAGTATTGTTTCTGATAATATCAAAAGATCACACACATATTATACAACTTAGTCTAATTTCTAACAGTATAAATAAGATCACTTTCATTTATATTAACAAATAAGATTGCTTATGTAGTTTTGTATATTCCAAAGTCTAATATTTCTTCTTCCTCGTTCAATATGAATGTATGCACAAAAAAGTAGAGCATGTTGTCTTATTATATCTTTTTTTTTCTCTATCTCATTCAACCATATCCTTTTTCTCAATCTCATTCTTTAAAGCCTAACAGCCTCAACTATGTTTCTCACTATTTATATGATCAAAAAAACTATTGAGTTTTGTAGTGGTTAATTACTTTAATGTTAAAATCATAAGTATACATAACTAATCGTAAATACATATAAGTTAGAAAACTTTTGAGTTGTAGTGAGCAATTAATTTGTAGATAAAAAGACTTTTGAGTTGTATTGGAAGTTTCAAATTAATATGGTGCAAGGAAACTGGCATCTACTATAGTATAGTATAGATAGCTATAAGACCATTGGGAGTAGTACGGTTTTGATCGCATCCATTGCCATTGTGGCAGGTGGAATATTGCCCCCTATATATGGTCTCCAATGCAGTTTAGCAGTAGTGTGGTCATTTTTTATCGTGGTTTTGCTCCTTCCCTTGACCGTTTGAACAGCAAAAAAAGTTTTCAAATTCAATTTTTTTTACCTGTATATAAAACCTATCATCCCTTAATTTACCAAACTTCAATCAAATTTCTTTATCTTTCACAATCTTATTTTCAAAAAATCTCAACATGTCTTCATCTAACAACCCAAACAACCAAAAAACACCCACAAGAAACACCCCAATACATTCTTACGATCAACCGAATTTTTCGCCTATGTTTTATCATTATGGCGGTATATTACCGTATTATCCACAACAATTCTCACAACCACAATCTGTAACTGACCCTGATTTTATTTTGACGAAATTTTATCTCAACCTGAATTTGTTCAACAAACACAATCACAACCACAAACACCCATTTATGATTTCGAGCCCAAATTCGTTCAAGAAACTCAACCCAATCTAGCACCAAATAAAAGAAAAGTTAAGGCGGTAGCTAAAGGATGGGATGCCGAAGAATTGTTCGTTTTTTGGCACAATCATGGATCGATATCTCAAAAGATGCGACGACAGGAAAAGACCAAAAACATGATTGTTTTTGGATGCATGTTACAAAAAGGTTCCACAAAGGAATGAAGCTCCTAATTAGCGTTCAAAACACCAAATTTACTCAAAATAGGGGAAGACAAACAAGTAAGTTATTTTGTTTAATGATTTGTATAACAACATGAAACGCCAACGGAAAAGCGGAGAAAGTGATGAAGTGATTTTGAAGAAAGCTCTAAATGTGTACCAAAAAGAAAATAAGAAGGCTTTCAAGTTTATTGACTTTTAGAATCTCGTGAAAGATAACAAAAAATGGTAAGTGATTAAAACATCCGAAGAGCATATAGATACTGGTTCAAAATGGTCAAGACATCCGAATCTGACCACACTACCTCTGATGCTTGTGGTGGTTTTGACATCGACGATGATGTACTCGTTCAAGTTTCACCACCTTCCTGGCCAATGGGAATGGACAAAAGTAAAACTAAGCTAAACATGATTAAAATCACTTCATCACTTTCTTCATCAATCCATCAAACAAGAAATCAACACATAGTAATTAAGAGTTCATCTAATCTAAATGAAAGCAAGGGTTATTAGCCCATAATCACAGCTGAAAATCACATAAACAAAAGTAAAACTAAGCTAAACATGATTAAACTAAGAAAACCGAATGAATATGTGTGAATCTTTGCTCCAATCTCCTTCTCCTTTGATCTCTAGTCGAATTCTGCCCTCCAAGGGTTCTTGGAAGGTTTTTTCTTCGTTAATTATCACATCCCCCAGGCCTATCTCTTGGAAACGACCTAATGTCTGGAATATATATATACTTGCCAATTTATGGCCACTACGGCATGGTGAATAGGCACCACGTCGTGGTCTTCATGGATATCCCGTATTCTCCAAGTCAACTCAATGATCACGAAGTTTCCATTTACCACGTCGTGGGAGTTGGATTTCACAATTTGGCACAAACACGAAAATCATCCGAAATTTTGTCTAGTTTTCAAATCATTTTGAATCGCCTTAATCGGAGTTACGAGTCATGAGATATGGTCAAAATACTGATGAGGGGTCAAGTTGTCCAACAACTTCCTTTTTGTGTCTTTTTCAGCTCCTCTTCCTCCAAATATCCAGCTTTTGTCGGTATCAATCATTTTCTTCGAAAATATCCATTTTTGGCTGCAAAATACAATTTAAACATTATAAGTACCAAATATATTTACAATAAACAAAATTATAGTTTACAATGTATTAAAATAATGCCTATAAATATGTATAAATATGACACTATCAATAGTATACCACTGAATTAACCTTATGTTAAACAAAAAAGTATTAAAATTTTATTACAACAAATGGATTATCAATACAACATTTAAAAGCTTATGTAAGTTTATAATTATATAAATTCTTCGAAACATAAAGTTAATAAATAGGCATTTACTCATTTGTAAATTGATAATATCCTTTTATAAAATCAATCCTCATAGTCAATTTTACTGGCCAATGAGAAGATTTGGACAAATCATCCCTAACCTTCCATAAGTAAAACCGATGAAAATAAAACATAATATAAAACATGTAACTAATTCAACAAAAAGAATTTACATATTATTATTGGATAATAATTCTTTACTCAAATGTATAAGTAAAATTAATATGCATTTTAAAACTTTATATTGATCTTAGATTGTTTTACCAATAAGAAAAAGGTTTGGGTTTATGTGGTGGAGTGGTTATCTAACTATTGACATCACTATTCCCTCATCAATTCTTTAAGCTATCCATGTCGTTTTTTATAAGAATTTAGAATTTAATATTACATGAAATTTTTAATAATTTAATGTACAAAGATAATAATTTCAGTTGATTTTTATCAAAGTTCTAAATAACGTTACATGTGATTTTGGAAGCAATGTCAAACCTTGAGCTTTTACGAGTCGTGGCGAGTCACGTCGACAATTTTGTATATAATTAATATTTTTATATGTATTTTCTACTCTTATTCATTTTAATATACATACATAACCTAAAAAAACATTTTGTTAAAGTTTGATGTCAAGTATAAGCCTTGGAGTCATAGCAAAACTATGACGAACTTTTTAAAACCTTGATTTTTAGTTGTTTAGATTGTAAAATCATATGTTATATGTTTATAATTGTATACGGGAAACGTTGTTTAAATGTCCCTTGTTTCATAATAAACTTATAACATACATTTTCATAATTAACTTTCAAAAGTTATGTTTTCTATATCAATTAATAAATAAATGTATAAATGTTTTTTATACTTTAACCTAGCAGTAAGAAGTGTCTCTCTCAAATGAGAGATAGTGAGTTCAAATTTTACTAGGAGACATGAGTGATATTTTAAGAGTATATTAGTTTGTCGTTTGAAAAAATAATAATAAATAAAGGTACATCTCTATTATGTATAGTTTGCTATTATGTATAGTTTGTTGATCTTTGGAATCTCATCGAACTTGGAATGGGGAGATAAATGTCAATAACCATGCATCCATGGGGATAGATGACCTCTTGTATATATACACACATACTTGAAAATGATACATACAAGGGGTGAATGAGTGAGCATGAAAGTAGTAAATGTTAAATAAAGTAGTTTCCAACACACTAGTAACAAGGAAATACCAATTGTTATATGTATATTTGTTATACGGTAAGTTGGCATGTGTAGTCATTTTGAGATGACTAAGTTATGTGTTAAGTAATAGTCAACCTATGTTGACCTAGAAATATCTTGATATCATTAGTTGCTATAAACCAAGGTAT